ATAAATGCCTGTAGCAGTAAGCTGTGTTGTCCGTGTCTGCTTTGCTGTTTATTCTCTTTGTTGTTGATAAACTATTGATGTGAAGCATCTCTATCGTTAGTCTCTTGTTGTAGTGATGTTCCGTTTGTAACACTCTCACGTCATCGATCTTGGGTGTATGGTTGTACTGTTTACAGTGTTCGGCTAACGCTGTTTTTTGTATCGAATTATTGTTTCTTAATTTGATGTCTGATTTGTGTGCTGACATCCTAGTTTTTAGTTTGTTTTTTGTTGTGCCAACGTAATGTTTTCCGCAACTTTCTTCCTTGTTACCACCACATTCAATTTTGTAAACTACATTATGTTTGTCCATTTTTGGTATTTTACTTTTCATGTTTGTGAATAAAGATTTTGTTGTGTTATGTGAGCTATGTGCTATTGTGTATTTATTTTTGTCATATATTTCTGACTTTTCCAATCTTTCTGATATATTCGGTAAATATATCAGGGATTTGTATATCTTCGGCGGGTCTGTTTTCTGCGAATCTCGACTTGAATGTTTATTCTTATAATAATTTTCAATTAGGGATTTGGTTATATGTAATGGGAAGTTATTATTAATTAGAATGTCTTTTATTTTTAATTTGTTTTGGAAATGAAATTGTTCGTCGCTTATTGTTAGTACTCTATTTATTAAGTTTTTCGCTGTATTGATAATTGTTCGTTTTGTGTGTTTAGAGTAGTAATTTATTATTCTACCTGACGCTGTAGGTTTTTGATACCAATTTATATTTATCGTATTATCTGCATTTCTTATTACTAATGTGTCCAAATATGGGATTTTTCCGTCGCATTCTTCTTCCAAAGTAAATTTAATGTTTTTGTTGAAACTATTTAGTACTGTCAGCGTTTCTTGTATTGCATCTTCCCTTATAATTAAAAACAAATCATCCACGTATTTCGTCAGTATCTTTGGTTTTGATTGTAATCTTTGCAAGCTTTCGTTGAGCAGTGATTCCATAACCAAATCTGCAATTATGGGTGATGCTGGAGATCCCATCGGTAGCCCTGCTTTTTGTTTGTATATTTTGTCATCAAACTTGAAGTATCTGTTGTCCTTTATGCAAAATTTTACAATATTCAGAAACATGTCTTTGGTTATGTTTGTATATTGTTCAATTTCTTCCCATCTTTCTTCAATTATATTTAGTCCTAATTCTACTGGAATACTTGGGAACAGTGAGACCACGTCGAATGAAACCATTTTTTCATTATTATTAACTGTCAGGTTCTTTATCTTATCCCTAAATTGCACAGAATCCCTTACGTTGTAAACTGATTTTGTCGTCAAATTATTTAATATGTTTACTATGTATTTGCACAGTTTTATTGACGGGGAATTTATAGACGAACATATGGGTCTTAATGGATAGCCGTCTTTGTGGATCTTTGGCAAGCCATATATTCTTGGGGCAATCGCAATTTCTGTTTTGAGTCTTTTCTTCTCTACTGTCGAAATTATATTATTTTTGAAAAGTTCTTCAACGATATCATTATTTTTCTTTTGAAGGTTTGACGTAGGGTCCTTATTGATACGTTGATACGTCATCATGTCTGAGAGCAGATTGGACATTCTTTCTTTGTAATCATTTTTGTTCATGGCTACAGTCACGTTGCCTTTGTCTGCATTTAGTATTATTATGTCTTTATTTTGGTTAAGAAATTTTCGGGTTCGTTCCACTGTGCCTATCATGTATTTGTCTCTATTGCTCTCTCTGCTTCTATTCATATGTGTTTCCAGCATATTTGTTAATTTTGTTCTTCCCATTTCTTGTTGTTCTTTGTCATTGTTTGTTTGTATGAGATCTTCCGCGTCCGCAATATATTTGAATAAAGGGAAATGTGTTCTTCTTGTTGGTAAGCAGTGTTTGTCTCCTAAGGAGAGTAACCATTTTATGTCATCTGGGAAAGTTTTGTTCGTTTTGTTGACAAACCAATTATCGTTGTGCTTTATGTTGAGTTCCTTAGTCAGTTCTTCTTGTAGTTTGTTGAATTTATTTTTGTGTATTTCGTCATGTTTTTTCTGCGTTCCTGTTATTATGATATTTTCGTTAAACTGAAATTGTTGTCTTTCTTCGTGTGAAAGATTATCGTTTAACTTGTTTTCTATGTCACTTAAAATTTTGTTATTGTATTTCAATTCTTCGTGTTTTTGTTTTATAACTAAGTTTAATATTTTACCTTCAAAATTTTCTATGTATGATTTTCGGCAATGCATATAAATTGGTTACAACCACAACAATAACAACAACGCCAACATTTGTAATGCAAATAATTTATGCGTAGTATTATTATGACGTGATTGTCAAGTCAATGATTCATTGATTTGTCGGTTGGTCACATTTACGAAATTTCATTAAAAATGAAATGTGATTTGGTGTTTGGTATGCTGCAAGCGTGTAACAAGCTGTGATGGGATTTTTCTTCTCTTTCTTTTTAAATCTAGTTTAAAATTCTAGACGACGTTTGCCCCAGACTGCCGTTTGTATTTGTATTATTTTTTTGTTCTATTTAAACACCTTGGCAGCGTGACTAATATTTAATCCAAAGGGTGTGGCTAAAATAGAGGCTCGTGTTTGGAATTCCTAATTAGATACAGCTTTTTGCCATTAAAATTTCGTTGTAAATTTATACTTCCTCTTTCGTTTCGTAATTTATAACACATTAGCTAGAATATTAGAGGCTTCGCCTTAAATTAACATTTAATTTATAAAATTTCAAAAGAAACCATTAAAGATGTAGATAGCTGGTATACGCAATATTTCTCTTTACGTATCTGCGTAAATGGGTACTTTTTAAAACAGCAAGTAGTTCATAAATTATCCGATGGTTTTTAGCCGTAAACCAATATTGTATGTAATCCGAAATATATTGAAGAAATTGTCCCAATGGATCTGCTTAAAACAATTTTTGGTCTGGAATTATAGAAAATGTCCTTACAAAAAATGTTTATATTGGACCGTGGACTTATCTAGACATTTTTCTGCCATTAAAGAACTATACATATAGAATTCCACACAATTTCATGTTTTACAATTGGAAAAAAACAAACAAGTAAAAAGGCTGTAAATAAAATTCGTTAGAAATTCTGTTTAAAAACCTTAAAAATACTGAATGTAGCCGTATATTAGGGTCTATATGAGGACGTGGACTTGCATAGGCAACTTTTTTCATAAGCTATTACAATATTCAAATGCAAAACTTGAAAAAAAATCTGTTTAAAATGTAGCTAAAGTCATCAAAATACCGAATATAGGGAGGTACCATGGGAGTAGACCTACATAGACAAATTTCTGTCATAGACTGTAGTATTCATTACGAACTTCCAATACCAAATTTGAAACAATTCCGTTAAATAATGTGAACAAAATCATCAAAATACCGAATATTGGGAGGTACCGTTATATGCGGACTATACGAAGACGTGGACCTACATGGCCCATTTTCAATACCAAAAGTCCTGCAGATATAACACAGATTTCAGTAAATTTTTATCAACTTACTTCATATCGTTCGGAAGCTAGAGTAATTTCCACAGTCGAACAGACGAATAGACGGACGGACGTCGTCATAGAATTTTAAGCTGATCAAAAATATATTTACTTTGTGCGGTCTAAAATGTATATTTCGAGGAGTTATAAACGGAATGACAAACTTAATATACCCTCCATACTATGGTGGAGGGTATAAAAACAAGTAAAAAAATTAAGTTCGACCGGGCCAAACTTTTAATACCCTTCAACATTGGATAATGAAAACATTTTTATATAAAAGTATCATAATTCCACTTTAAACGTTTGGATAATACAGTTAAACTTTAAAAAAAAATAAATAAAATAAATAAATAAATCAAGTGGGTGAGTGACAACATTTAGACAACTTTATACTACAAGGATTGTTATCTATTATTATATGGCGGCTATAGGAAACATGGAACTAGATATTCAATGTTCTGTCACTGGAGCGAAAACCCATGCAGAACTACAAATACCAATTTTTAGACCATTTCGTGGATAATGTTTGTCACAATAATGTTTGTCACAATCATCAAAATACAGAATATCGGGAGGTACCCTTATATGGGGGATATACGAAAACGTGGACCTATACATACAATGTTCTACCACCGCAGACAGAACCTTTTATGACCAAAAAATACCAATTTGTAGACAAATCCGTGGAAAACTGTAGCAAAAATTATGAAAATACCCAATATCGGCAGGTAGATTTATATGGGGGGGTATTCGAAAATATAAGCCTATACATAGAATCCGCCATAGGAATTAGAACCTATTATGACTACATATACCAATTTTTTAGACAAATCCGTGGAAAAATGTTGCGAAAATAATCAAAATACCGAATATCGGGAGATACCGTTATAAGCGGCTATACGAAAACGTGGACCTATATATGCAATGTTCCGCCATAGGAGCTAGAAGGCATTATGCACTACAAATACCAATTTTAAAACAAATCCGTGGAAAATAGTGCCAAAACGTGGACGGATATATATTTTCAATACCAACCATCCTAGACACAGTACATATTGTTCTGCCAAATTTGGAAGCTCTACACCAAATAATGTGGGCTGTACCGTGATTTCAACAGACAGACGGACAGACAGACAGACGTTAAATGGACTTAGAATTTTATGCTAATTATGAATATACATACTTTATGGGGTCTACGTCGAATATTTACGGATATTACAAACGGAATTAGGGTATAAAAATACGTTTGCCCGGAGAACGTACCTTGCCTCCCTTGCAAATAAAATCCCACCTCCCTAGAGTTTCGAGCTTTTCATGCCATAATGTATTCAATTCCGTCTCTAAGGATAATCATAAAACATAAACTCCTAACAAGCTTCCCAAACATAAACTCATAACACACTTTTATTTCGAAATAAATTTAATAATTCCCAATACAATTTTCTTTCAATTTCTTTTCTTTTTTAGATTAATCCGTCGAATATTGGGTAAGTTATTAAAAATAAATTTCATTAAAAAATGTTGTAGAAAAATTTTGAAATGTGCATTGACATGTTTAAAGCTTTGTCACATTATTGGCAAACGCCGCTTGTTGCATGGCAGTTTAGCTGCTAATTGGTCAATAAAGCAGATCATGGGTTTCTTTTCAGGCATGAAATTAGCTAAATTCATTTTTTCAGGTTAATGATAAAATATAACTAATATATTGTGTTTCTATTTGTTATTGTCATTGTAGCATTGTTGTTGACACTACCGTCGACACTCATATATTTTATGACGTATTTAAGTCATGCATTCATTAGCTGGTGATAAAATCGTTGGTCATCCAAATTGAATTAAAAAACTCTAATGTGGTGATTGAAATAAATTAATTATTTTTTTGTCGTAGACATAAAAAATTAGCACAAAAAATTGCACTGAACATGTTGTGATACGTATGTATGTTTGTCTTCGCCTTTTGAACTGGTCTTTTGGAGGAAAGAGAAAAAAGCTCGAATACATGATTAATTGTCACACTGTCGCCCTGACCAACTGTCTAGGTATAAATTATTGTTTTTGTAATTTGCTTTTCCTTTGTATTTGTTAATCACGTGCCACAAACCACATACAAACAATAAAATATATACACACATTTACATTTACAAGGGGAAAAATAAATAAAAGAGTCATGAAAAATAAATTACTAATTAACACTTATTATGTGTTACTGATTCGTTTATTTATTGGAATTTTAACCTGGCATGTATTGTGTTTTTTTTTTTTTTTTGTAAAGTGTTCTATTAATTCACTTATTAAGACATCACATTCAGATTTTAATGTCATTATTCAATAATAAAAGAGAGTGTTCTCTATTTACATGTCAGCAATGTGAATTTTTTCATTTGCTTCACTAACTGAGCGCCTAAAACATGTTTATCCAAAAGCTTCTATGTAAAAATATGGACACTGAAACTCAGAAATAGATCAGTTTTCAATGGGGCGGAAGCGAAGAATGTAGATACAAACTGCTTTAGGCGGATCATACATTTTCGTATTGAGATTAAATAATCGTATTGAATTAAAATATTTATTAAATCCGAAATACTGTGTTAAATCAACCAGCTCAATTCATCCAAAAAGAATTTTTTACGAAATTTTTAGACAAAAAATACAAATACCAATTGTTAGACAGATCCATGGAAAATGTGTCAAAAATCATCAAAATACCGAACATTGGGAGGATCCGTTATATGGTGGGTTATACGAAAACGTGGACCTATACATACAATGTTCCGCCACCGGAGCTAGAACCCATGATTACCTACAAATACCATCTTTTAGACAAAATTCGTGGAAAAAAAGTGTGGCGTAAATCATCAAAATACTGAATATTGGGAGGTTATATGGCGGCTTTACCAAAACATGGACCCATATATCTCATTTTCAATACCAACCATCATAGACACAATAGAAATTGTTGTGCCGAAGCTCTGCGCCAAATAACATGGACTGTATAGAAATTTCAACGGACAGACGAACATCGTTAAATCGACTTAGAATTTTATGCTAATCATGAATATATATACTTTATGGGGTCTACGACGAACATTTAGGGATGTTACAACCGAAATGACAAACTCACACCCTCTGTTTTCCTTTTGTTATTCCTATTTATTTGGTAGTGGCATATAATGGATTTTATGTCATTTACAAAAATACATTTTTAACATACAAAACATTTGAAATCGAACGAAGGTATATATGGGAGCTATATCCAAATCTGAACCAATTTCGATAACATTTGACCTGTTCCTGATATCTGGTACCAAATATTATATTTGTAGAGTGCATATTACGAATTTGCGGGACTTAAACACATAATCGGACGGAACATATACATGGGAGCTATCGACATTTAAACTGTTTACACTGGCTTCTTGGCTGAATTAGGTCATATGTGTCCAAATCCATACTATTTCGGCTGATATTTACCATTTGGTGCACAATAAACATCAAATCGGATAAAGATATATGGCAGCTACATATTTATTTTATTTACAAAAATACATGAACCGACGGTTGGGCATGCATAAATCGATGCAGAATGTGATTATATGAAGATCATCAAAAGGAGCAAAGCAATGTTTACCTTTAACACCAAAAACTCTTCAACTCTTGAAGTTTACCAAGGAAAATATTAGTAAAACCATTGCACATTAGACGCACGTCCAATGTTCATGCCCAAAACTATTTCAATGTCTCCATATGTAAACCCTAGAAACCAACAATGACCTCAATATCAAAAATGCGATTTTTAGGTCTGTCCCAACACCCAATACCAAATTTAGTGATATTTAGTACGCATATCCAAAGTAAAATGAAAAATGACCAATGAAAAATCCTGCATTCTGCAAGGTTTAAACCTAATCATTTTTTAATGAAATTGTACGAAAATCCTTACAAGGAGTTCCTTCTGAGTACTTTACCCTCTGGAAGAGACTTGTCTATATAAGTCGACGAGATCGTATATCCCCCTAATATTCGCTATTTAGATGATTTTAGATATATTTTTAATTTCATGTTTGAAGCTCGTAATGGGTACTTCAATATATGACCGAAAATTGTCTTTGTAGGTCCACGTCTTCATACAGCCCACATATATCGACACTCCTCTTTGGTATTTTGATGATATTAGCGACATTATTCACCGAAATTGTCTCCAGGTTGATGTATTTGATTTCGGATTTAAAATTTGTATTGGGTACTAAAGCCTATGATAAAAATTGTATGTGCAGGATCATGGCTTCGTATTTTCAAATTCCTTCAAAATGGTGGAGGGTATTAAAAGTTATTAGCCTAGCTGTTTTTTTACTTGATTTTTTTTTTAATTTAGGCCATAATACATTACTATAAATATAATACATTTATTAAAGACGCAGCAATATTGTTTGCTGCGTATATCGTATAAAAACCGCTTCTGATAGTCTTAGCTTTCTGATTCAGAACTAGACGAATAGCTTCTCGATTTATCCATTGTATTTGATGGATATAAATAACCGTCACTCTTAAAAATTATTTTTCAATTCTTTGTTTTGCTCTTTTTGTCGCTTTGACAATTGTTAATGCAAATATCATATCATATTCATGCGTCTGCATTTTCTATTTTATCTTGGCAAACTAAGCAGTCTGGAGTGTGTGTGTGTGTGCGTTCGTATGGATGTTTTTAAAATCGTGGTTAGGGACCCTTTGCTGATGGAATTATGACAAATAAACACAAATAATAAGCAATCACACTGACCAATAACAAATAATAACAAATTGAATTTTATGCAAATGATTAAATTAAATCATTTGATTGCAAATGTAAACAAGTGTGGATTTAATTATCCAACCACTAACAATTGGTTGGTCATTTGACAGAAATATCAGACAGAGCCGGTAGGTACTAATTGAAAGGCCCGGTAAAACTTCTGGAAATTTGATCACGAATGATTATAGCACCATGTAGAGAAAATGTTTAGTTTCAATAAAAATTCTCCTATATTTATTGATTTGATATCATCATATCCTTACTGCTGCTTAGGAATGATAAAAGGAAAGGCTAAACGAGACATCAATTACACAAGGGGCGTAGTTATTGAAACGATACTCAACATACTAATTAAGGCTTGAAGGAATTGAATGTTAGGGATTTACACAAAATTACAAAATGGTATTGGTAGAGTACGAACCTGCACTTTTATGAGCTAGAACCATGATGTCTAATCTATATAATAGTCCTTAGATTGTGGTTTCAATGTGGACAATTTTTTATACCCTACGCCACACCGAGGTGCAGAATATAATGTCTTTGTGTATTTGCGATGGAAACGAGCAAAACCCATAGTTAATGTTGATTCTGAGTCGATTTATGCATATCAGCCTGTCCATGTATTTTTGTAAACAAAGTACAGATCACATTTATTGTCCGATTGAGATGTCATTTTCCACAACTCATTTGTTTGTTTTGTATATATCTTCGACCGATTTCAATCCTATTGTGCGCCATATGAGTAATATTCATCCGATATATATCTTTATCCGATTTCATATATATATATATATATATATATATATATATATATATATATATATATATATATATATACATATCTTTATCCGATTTTTCCATTTAGTGAAATTCGATTCCCATATATCTTTTGCTCCGACATGTGTTTTCCTTCTAGAAGTCATATCATGTACTCTATAGCAATGTTACATGTTACGAGAGATACAAATATATCATATGTACAATGAAGAGAAGGTAGGTCAACTTTGAAAAAATTGCAAGTATAGAGGTCTACCTGTTTTGCTTGTAATGTCAGAATTAGTATCAAAACAATAAAAAATCAAACAACTTGTTGCATTTATTTTGAATAAATAATTGAAAACCGCGATAATTGAATGAAAGGTCAACACTTTTTTTTTCAAAATCATGTACTATATATCTCTAAAGGATTATTTCGCTACAAAAACTTTAGATTTTGTACATGCATGCATGCAAGATGACATATTAAGCCAAGAAAATAAAAAAAATTAAAATCATATGGTTGTTCTGCCCTACATTGATTTTTTTTTTTTTTTTTGAGGTTAGGATTTTCATGCATTAGTATTTGACAGATCACGTGGGATTTCAGACATGGTGTCAAAGAGAAAGATGCTCAGTATGCTTTGACATTTCATCATGAATAGACTTACTAACGAGCAACGCTTGCAAATCATTGAATTTTATTACCAAAATCAGTGTTCGGTTCCAAGCGTGTTTCGCGCTTTACGTCCGATTTATGGTGTACATAATCGACCAAGTGAGCAAACAATTAATGCGATTGTGACCAAGTTTCGCACTCAGTTTACTTTATTGGACATTAAACCAACCACACGAATGCGTACAGTGCGTACAGAAGAGAATATTGCGTCTGTTTCTGAGAGTGTTGCTGAAGACCGTGAAATGTCGATTCGTCGCCGTTCG